CTACAAGATACTGGATGTCTAGTTTATCTTTCTAGAATATTACTGAACACTATCCTAAACTGAATCAAAGTGCATACAGCAGAACTTCATGTGACTTGAAATTATAAGCTTCCCTTAATTTATTTTTAGTTACTATTTTTATTATCATACATTTTGCAGAAACTCATAAGTACCACTATAGATAGTGTTCATCTAATGTTCTTTATTTCACTAGAGAGATAAAGAGTGAGAAAGATACGGGATTTGGAATTAAACATGTCCAAATTTGATTCCTGTTATCACTTCATACTTGAGCGAATTACATAATCTTTACTTGGTTACTCATATTCAAAACAGGATTAATTGGGGGCACCTGGCTGGCTCAGTCAGTGGAGCATGTGACTCTTGATCTTGGGGTTGTGAGTTTGAGCCCCATGTTGGGTGCAGATTACTTAAACAAACAACATCTTTAAAAAATGGGATTAATTGTTCCCAGTCTTCAGCACTGTTGGGAGGATTAGGGATGGTACCAGGAGTGAGTGGAGTGCCCAGAACTAGAAGTATTTCCACATATGGATGCTATGATTCGCATTCTTGTGACATCATAACTCTTGATGATGAAGTTCATCATTTTCTCACAGACTGAGAGATGTTTTCTAGGTTGTAGCATTTTTGTTTTTCCTAAGATAATGTAAAAGTCCACCCTAGCTGTAATTTCTTTAGTCAAAAAATATCACTATTTGGGTATAGTTTGGTACATCAGTAGTCATATGTTGAACTTGCCCAAAATGCTGCTACTCATTATTTTGATCAGTCAGGTATTTTGAAACCTGTAGGCATTATTAAAATTATTAAATCCTCCATAAGGGGTGCCTGGGTAGCTCAGCTGGTTGAGCATCCGACCTTGGTTTCGGCTCAGGTCATGATCTCAGGGTCATGGGATCAGCCTCGAGTCAGGCTGCATGCTCATGGGGGAGTCTGCTTGGGTTCTCTCTGTCCTTCTCCCACTGCCCCACCCCCCCAAAAAAATCTTTAAAAATTTATTAAGTCCTTCATGAAAATATTAGGTGGCCTTGTAATTAAACATAAGTTTAGGATTATTTTAAGACTAAAGGGTATTAAAACATTGAAATGTAAATTACTTCTTTTATATCTGACTCTGTTTTGCTTTGTAACAAAAATAACAAAGAAATATAAGTTGTAGGGTAATAGGAACAGAGAGTACCACAACAATCTGGAAGAAAATTAATGCTGTAAAATAATATGTGAAATAGAATGTCAAATTTAACTGGCATACCACAGTGAGCAAAAACAAAACCCTGCTCTCAGAATTAATATTCTGGTATATATTAAAAATCCTGCTTGGAATTCCTTAATCTATTTTTCAGTGGAGGAATCATATTAAGGATTTGGAATTAATGGCCATGAACTTTGGTATTTTCTCAGTGGAGCCACCTGGGTGGCTCAGTCAGTTAAGCATCTGCCTTCGGCTCAGGTCATGATCCTGGAGTCCTGGGATTTAGTCCCACATCGGGCTCCCTGCTCAGTGGGGAGTCTGCTCATCCCTCTGCCCATCACCCCACTCTCATGCTCTCTCTCACTCTCTCAAATAAATAAATAAAATCTTTAAAAAAGCAAACAGCAAATTATAATAAGCTATCATTTTTTAGGATGATTACATTTTAAAGCTTCCCCACCAGCAATGTGGCATTTTTATTCAAACTTTAGTCTTCTACTTTAAAACTACTTTGTTTCATTGAAACTTTAAATCCCTCCTTAATATCTCAGCACACACACACACACACATACACCCTTATATAGACGTGCATATAAATATACGTAAATATTATATATTTTTATGTACAAATATATTTTAAGATACTTGTATATTTTTGGAAACTTTCAGATATACTCATTCATTATTGGATTCATATAATTACTGAAGAGGCTAAGTAAGACCAGATCTCCCATTAGCCTTTTGGCTCTCTCTACAATCTCGCCTAGCCAAGCCTGTTACACTGCTATTTGTCATACGTTTGTTTATATTTATTTTTCCAATTCTTCAATCCTTTTGATAGGTTCCATAATTAAGCAATGCAAATTCATTTAGGTAAAAATAAATAAACAAGTTCTTATTCTGAGTTATAAACTTTCATTATACTGAGCTAAATTCAGTCACTAGAGTAATTTTTCAGAAAACTAGTAATGTGGTCTGACTTTCTATGCTCATTTGTCTCTCATTTTAAAACTCATCATTTGCTTATTCATAAAATTTTCGTATTAAAGTTCGGTTCTAATGATACAAGCCTAGTGGCCTGTTATGATTGTAGGATTTAGAAAACAGCAACAACAAACTTCTTTCTTTAATCTTCAAGAACAGGTTTATGTGACTCAAAACACTCAAATAGAGTTCTCCTTAGAATACCTGAAAATCGGTTTCAAATTACTCAGCTACTTTTCTTCAGTTAGGCAGCTTTCTGAAAGGATGTGCTAATACAATTTAAAGTTGATTAAGTTAATTTTATAAGGATTAAGAAGAGGAAATGTTAGAATCTCAGGTGTGTTTTTCTGAAGACTTGATCTTGTTTCCAAAATCATATGCAGTAATTTGAATCTATTTTTGTATCTTCTTTTCTTCCTGTCCTAAGTTATATACATCCATTACAATAACAAAAGAATACCATAAAAAGCTTAAAAATGCACATACCTAAATAGAAAATAAAAGTCATTCTAAAACTAAGATCTAGAGATAAGTACTTTTGACTTTGTGATGTACAGATTTCGAGTGTTTTTGTATTATTGTAAAGCACATATTTTAAAAATTGGATTATATTTTAAAAACTTAATATAATATTTTAAAATACAAAAATGTGCAATGAATGTAATTTCCTTTAATGTAGTTGGTAATGGTCTCATGGTGTTTCACTACATGGATGTTTAGTAATGACTTTGCCTTCATGGTGGAACATTGGGCTGCTTACAAGTTTTTGGTAATATAAACAATCCGGGGAAAACATCACTGTAACTGTGTCTTTCTACAAACCGTGATAATTTACTTAGGATAAATTCTAAGAAATGGAATTACTGAATCAAAGTTATACACATTTTTGAGGTCCCTATATGAATTGCTTGAGAATTTTTACCGATTTAGAGTTCTGCCTAATATTTAACGTCCTGTTAGCATGAACCCTCATTAACATTGACTAGCTTTTAATTTTTATTATTTTGTTTTAGTATTTATTAAGGTGGAAATGATACATTATAACTCATTTTTAATTGTATTCCTTTGATTTTTTAGTAAGTTTAAACTTTCCCCCAACTTATTTCAGTCATTTTTATTTATTTTATGTAAAGTTCCTTTCATCTCCTTTGCTATTTTCCTTCTGTGGCATTAATAGTATTTTCTTAATTTGCAAAATCTCTTTGAAGAGTAAGGAAATAAATATATTATTTGTCATGATTTTTATATGTTTTCCCTTAAATTATGTCCATAATATACTTAAATTTATAAATAAAGTATATCATTTTTAATGTATAGTTTCTGCATTTCATGTTACCAACTTCCTCACAAGAAACCCATACAACAGAAATGATCCTAGTGTCTGGCAGATAGTAAAGGCCATTTAAGTATTAGCTCTTACAATGATTCTTATTGCGATGATGGAGGAAATTTATATATATATGTATATATATATACAATGAACTCAAAGTCACACATCTGAAACTGTGTACCTAAGTACAAACTCAAGCTGATAGATTATTAATTATTAAGACTTACTTACAGTCTTACTTAAAACTCTTTAGTCAAAGAATCCTAGTTCCCTTTAGTGGGAAATGGTACTTAAAAATCAAGATCTCCGTTCAAGAGGTCCATATTGTTAATGTTGTGTCATTGCTTCTAGGCTCTTCCAGGATCTTCCAGCTCTTTGTGAAGAGCTAGGACACACACACACATTTTCTTCCTCACTTTCACATTGGTTGTCTGTATCTCCTTTCTTCCACACTGAGGCTTCTGGTTCCTGAGAATATCAATATGTTTACATATGTGCTCTATTCTGCATCACACACAAGGACGTTTTAGATTTAACTACATCCATACCACCACAATAAACCAACTAAATGCAGTTGACCCTTGAACAACACAGTTTGAAGTGTGTGGATCCACTCATACACAGGATTTTTTTCTATATAGTTATAGTACTATAAATGTATTTTCTCTTCCTAACGATTTTCCTAATAATATTTTCTTTCCTCTAGTTTACTTTATTGCCAGAGTACAGTGTATAATACATGTAACCTACAAAGTATATGTTGATTGACTGTTGATGTTATTGGTAAGGTTTCCAGTCAACAGTAGGCCATTAGTAGTTAAGTATTTGGGGGAGTCAGTAGTTACATGATTTTTGACTGTGCAGAGGACCAGTGTCCCAACCCCTCATGTTATTCAAGGGTCATGTGTAATTCCTTTGTGCTTATTTTTATCCTTAGACTATCTACCACTAAGTGTGTTCTGTCAGAGGACCGTGTCCAAGAGTTACTTGAGTTTATTCTATTTCTTATGTATGTTATTAATTTGAAGTGAAGATTGGTTTATTTGTTTTTGTTTAGATGCAACTGGAGTGACTATTTATCCCTTATAATTTTATTTTTGAATATGTGAAATACTAATATGGTTCAAAAGTCAAACCATATAAAAAGTTAAACTCGGTGAATTCTCACTCCCAGCACTATCCCATTAATAACATTACTTCTCACTCTCTCTGAGTAATGATTTTTTTTTTTCTCAGTAAATTTTTTAGAAAATGCTTTTCATTAAAATGTGGTTTATACTAACAGGTGCTTATTATTTTTAATGAATATTTTATAATTTTTTATTTTCAGTATCATATATATTATCCACATAAACAAAAGTTCTTGAGACCAGAAGTTTGAGAACTGCTCTTTCCAGCAGACACTCAGTGCCCTGTGAACATTACTGCTGATAGGTATGGCTACTTAGTTCCTTGGCACATTCAATGTAAATTTTGCTTTAAATAAGATTCAATAAATAATTTGCAAAAAAAAAAAAGCTTCTTAAACTTATCTTCAGGCAAGGGAATTCAATCTGATGGTGAAATACAGAAGTCTAACCAGTTCAAATTAAAAGATTGAGATACAAAACATGATTTCCTTGGTGGCATCAGAATGTAACAAATAATCCTTTAATGTATACCCAGGTTGACTCTGATATATGGAAAAGAAAACCATACTTCATGTGATGCATTTAAAAAATATTAAATAGCAATGTGCCAACACAAGCATTAGATTCTAAGTGAATGGTAGCAAATGAAAGGCTTACTCAAAAATGATAGCTAAAAACAAATCCTTAATTTTCAGAAGAAAAAATAAGGGATGAACTCGGGTTCCTGGACAGAAAAGAAATTTTTAAAAATTACATTTCTTGAAATGTCAAAATGTGAATAGGCAGATTAATATTGACATTGTACTAAGCTGCACAATTTTATCCTTAAAATACATTTTAGATACTGTGCCAAAATAATATGAGTATATCTTGCCATTAGAAAATAAAAATGGAGAACACTTGGCGGTTCAGGCATAGCTGTGGTGAAAGAAGTTCCTTCTAGCCTTCTGACTGTATCTCAGATGTAAAATAATTACATTGATGTTTTTTAACCTGTCATGTATAATTTTCTTAATATATTGCTATTTAAAAAATCTGAGACAGCTAACATCTAAACAAACCACTGCTGGTTGGGAATATTTGAATGAATGATGCTATGAATACATTTGCTAATTTATACCACATTAAGATTCTATATGATACAGTGATTTAATATATCTTATTGCTGAATAACTGGTATTTGAAAATAAGTATAGTTTTCTTTCTGAGTAGTCTTTTGGAAAAAGTGCATTGAATATAGTTTCCAGTCATAGTTCACTTTCCTAACTTGTACTTATTTAAAAATCTTCTCATCAGGAGGGAGTTAAATCATGCCCGAACTAAAAGTCCGGCGAATCTGACTTCCTTTCCCTCATTTTGGTTTGCATGTTCATTTACAACCATCATTTCTCTTCAAACTTTCCACTTAGTGTATCAAAAATCAATGTTATGAAAGTTCTCTAAAAGGTTCAGCGGTTTTTTGGAGTCTCTGAATTACTACAGCATTCTGTAAATCTGCTTCTTCCAATGTGAGTGTTTCATCTAGCAATTTGAGGAAAGGAAGAGCTGTGGCCAGGGAAAAGGGAGGACTTCTTTGAGATCCTTGGTATTTTTCGATGAAGTCTTTGATGTGGCTTATCCTATGAGAAATATTAAATTTCTGGACAATCCTTTTTCCATTGGCTAACCAGATCTGTACATTAGTGATGGGTTCCAGATTGTTTAGTTGAACAGACAAATTATTTTTATTCTCAACTTCAGTACTCTTTGCCTTAGAAACAATTTTTGGTGTGGCACTTCCTAGACTGTGACCCTGTCCTGAGAAGGGCTGGAACACAGGCTTCGTTGACATACATACTTCATTTTTTTTGTCTTCAACTTTAACATCCACCTCCTCTTTATCAAAAATTCCCTGTAATTCCAAAGGTAATTCCCTGTTTTTTCTGTTCAGTGGGAGACATGCATTTGGCACCAACCTTCTCAGCTTCCTCAAAAAGGCTGTCAACAAAATATTCACAATTTCTTTGTTGATCATCATTAAGAGGTTGGTTGTCAGATCCTGTTTCACAAACCCATTCTTCTTTTATACTTTCGAGATTATCTACTTCTTTCATTCTTTTGTCTTACTCCGGGCGCAGCCGCGCTGCCGCCTTCCGGCCTGGTCCTCCGTTCGCTCAGGGGCCGCGGGCGCCACCGCCGCTGTCGGGCTGGAGCCCCTCAGACGAGGAGCACCGCCGCCCCCAGACCCGCTGAGGCTCGCGGGCCCCGCCGCTGAGACCCGGCCTGCCTCCCTGGGCCTCCGCCGCCGGGCCGAGTAATGATTTTTTATTACCCTAATTTAGTTTTCATAGTCTTCTTTCCACAAAAATAGCAAGTGCATACATTGCCTTCTGATCTCTTTTTCTTTCTTACAAAACAGTGAAGTATGAAGCATTATTTGCACTTTATATTTTTCACCTAGTATGTCGCAGAAACCATTCCATAGTGGTTTATAGAGATTCCACACATGTTTGTTTATACTTCCATAGAAATACATTATGTTAGGTTGTTTTCAATATTTTGTTACATGAGTAATAACTCAGTGAATAAGTTTGTTAGGTGATATTTTATATCTGTTGTCATATCTTCAGTTAAACGCTAGAAGTGGGATTGTGCCACTTGGCCTTCTCACTAGCAATGTATGAGAAGGTCTCTCTCCCCACAGTTTTGCCAGCAGAGTGTGGCAACAGGCTTTTGAATTTTTATGCACTTCATAGGTGAAAAATGGTATCCTGTGGTAGTTTTAACTTGCATTTCTCTTAATAAGCATGAAAATGAGTGTATTTTAACATGTTTAAGGGTGTTTTACATATCATTTTTTTCCATAACCTGATCATTAATTTGCCCTTTTTTATTGAAGTATAATTGACATACAATATCATATTCATTTCAGGTGTACATCATAGTGATTTGATATTTTTGTACATTCCAAAAGGATCCCCATGGTAAGTCTAGTTACCCCTGTCACCATTCAAAGTTATTACAGTATAATTACTGTATTCCCTATGTTGCACATTAGGTCCTCATGACCTGTGTATTTTATATCTGGAAATTTGTACTTTTTAGTTCTCTTCACCTATTTTACCTGCTCCCTGACCAAGAGTTTGTTTCCTGTATCTATGAGTCTGTTTCTGTTTTGGTTTGGTTTGGTTTTAGATTCCACATATAAGTGAAATAAAACAATATTTGTCCTTCTCTGACTTATTTCACTTAGCATAATGCCCTCTAAGTCCATCCCTATCTCTTCATGCTCTCACAAATAGCAAGATTTCTTTCTCTTTTATGACTGAGTAATATCACATCTTCTTTATTCATTCATCTGTTCATGGATACGTAGGTGATGCTTTCATATCTTGGCTATTGTAAACAATTCTGCAGTAAACATAGGGATGCATATATCTCTTTGAATTGGTGTTTCATTTTCTTTGGATAAATATCTGTAGTGGAATTGCTGGATTGTATGGTCATTCTATTTTTAATTTTTTGAGGACCCTCCATACTGTTTTCCCAAGTGGCTGCACCAATTTACATTCCCACCAACAATGTTTGAGGGTCCCCTTCTCCACATTCTCACCAACACTAGTTTTTCTTGTTTTGTTTTTTTTTAAGATTTTATTTATTTATTTGACAGAGAGAGATAGAGCAGGAATACAAACAGGGGGAGTGGGAGAGGGAGAAGCAGGCTCTCCACGGAGCAGGAAGCCCAATGTGGGACTTGATCCCAGGACCCTGGGATCATGACCTGAGCTGAATATTTCTTGTTTTTGATAATAACCATTCTTACAGGTGTGAGGTTGTGTTTTTGATTTGCATTTCCCTGGTGATTAGTGATGTCGAACATCTTTTCATGTGTCTGTTGGCCATCCGTAGGTCTTCTTTGGAAAAGTGTCTATTTAAGTCCTCTGCAAATTTTTTAACTGTTTTTTATATTAATTTGTGTAAGTTTTTTATGTATTTTAGATTTTAAACACTTATCAGATGCATGATTTGCAAATATCTTCTCCCATTCAGTAGGTTATCTTTTTGTTTCATTGATGATTTCCTCCATGTGCAGAAGTTATTTAGTTTGATATAATCCCTTTTATTTATTTTAGCTTTTGTTGCTCTTGCCTAAGGAGACTGGCTGAAAAAAAATATTGTTAAGGCTGATGTCAAAGAATTTACTGCCTATGTTTTCTTCTGGGAGTTTTATGGTTTTAGGTCTTACATTCAACTCTTTAATACATTTTGAATTTATTTTTGTATATGGTGTAAGATAGTGGCCTAGTTTCATTCTTTTACATGCAGCTGTCCAGTTTTTCCAGCACCATTTATTGAAGAGACTGTCTTTTCCCTATTGTATATTCTTATCTCCTTTGTCATAGAGTAATTGACCATATACATTTGGGTTTATTTCTGGGCTCTCTGTTCTCTATGTGTCCATTTTCAGGCTTATAACATACTGTTTTGGTTATTATGGCTTTATAGTACAGTTTGAAGTTAGGGAGACAATAGTTCCAACTTTGTTCTTTCTCAAGATTGCTTTAGCTATTTAGGTTTGTGTGTGTGTGTGTGTGTGTGTGTGTGTGTGGTTCCGTACAAATTTTATGATTCTTTGTTGTAATTCTGTGGAAAATGCCATTGGTATTTTGATGGAAGGTGGATTTAATCTGTAGATTACTTTGGGGAGTATGAACATTTTAATGATATCAATTCTTCCAGTCCATGAGCATGGTAGAGCTTTACAGTTTTCGTGTTTTCTTCAATTTCTTTCATTAATGTCTTATAGTTTTTAGTGTATGGGTCTTTCATCTCTTTTATTATAGTCCTAATTATTTTATTCTTTTGATGCTACTGTAAATGGGATTGTTTCCTTGATTTCTCTTTCTGATAGCTCTTTATTAGTGTATAGAAATGCAACCAGTTTCTGTATGTTAATTTTGTATCCTGCAACTTTACTGAGTTTATTTATTAGTTTTTTTTTTAAGATTTTATTTATTTATTTGACAGAGAGAGACACAGCAAGAGAGGGAACACAAGCAGGGGGAGTGGAAGAGGGAGAAGCAGGCTTGCCGCGGAGCAGGGAGCCCAATGCAGGGCTGGATACCTGAGCTGAAGGCAGTTGCTTAACGACTGAGCCACCCAGGCGCCCCTGTTGTACCCATTCTTAACCCCACTTCTGTTCGTTTTTTCCACTGCAGTTATGGTAAAATTCCTCAAACTCATGGACCCTGGGATCATGACCTGAGCTGAAGGCATATGCTTAACGACTGAGCCAGCCAGTTGCTCCTATTTATTAGTTTTAATAGTTTTCAGTGGAGATCTTATGATTTTATATATATTATCATGTCATTTGTAAGTAGTGATAGTTTTATTTCTTTTTCTCTGATTCGGATGCCTTTTATTTCTTTTTCTTTTCTAATTGCTGTGGCTAGGAATTCCAATACTATGTTGAATAAAAGTGGCAAGGATGCACATCTTTGTTTTGTTCTAATCTTAGAGGAAAAGCTTTCAGTTTTAGTTGAAAATAGAGCTACCATACGATCCAGCAATTGCACTACTGGGTATTTACCACAAAGATACAAATGTAGGGATCCGAAGGGGTGCATGCACC